ACCCTAACCCTAACCCTAACCCTAACCCTAACCCTAACCCTAACCCTAACCCTAACCCTAACCCTAACCCTAACCCTAACCCTAACCCTAACCCTCAGGTTCCACCAGGAGTTTGTTGTCTTGGAGTGTTTGTAATACCTTCTTGACGTGTTCCTTGTGTTCTTCCAAGTTCTTGGAGTAGATGAGGATATCGTTAAGGTATATAATAATAAAATGATCCACGTAGTCTCGTAATACGTAGTTGATCATTTTCTGGAATGTCGTAGGGGCGTTGGTTAATCTAAATTATATAATATTGTATTTGTACAATCCGTATCTGGTTCTAAAGGCGGTTTTCTATTCGTTGCCTTTTTTTATGTAAATGAGGTTATAGGCTCCTTTGAGGTCTAATGAAGTAAAGACCTTGGCTCCTGTAAGCCGATCTCTGATTTCCGAAATCAGTGGTAACAGTATAACGTCTTTTTTGGTTATTACGTTTAATTATCGGTAGTTTATAACAAGTCGAAGTTTACTGTTTTTCTTGGGTATAAATATGACTGGGGCTCCTGCTGAGGATTTGGAAGGTTGGATATAGCCTTTCTGCAGCTGTTCCCTGATCTATTTATTGAGTGTCTTAAGCTCGGTGGCACTTAGGTTATAGATCTTGTTGAACGTTGGGACTTTGTCGTCTATAAGCTCAATCTTATGATCCCATTAGCTGTGTTCTGGTAGTCCAGTGTCTAGTTCTTCGTTGAAGACTAGCATGTGCTGGAGGTCGGTTGGTACGTTCTTTAAACGTTCCGGTGTCTGTTGGTCTCAGTGGTATAGTTCCTTGACCTTTCGTATAATTGAGTTTAGAAATCTAAGCTGTTTCTTTTTGGGTTTCTCGACATATTCGACTGTTCTTGGGAGCTTCTTTGGCTCCTTAAATCGTACTTGTTTTGTGATTTTTTTCTTTTCCGTATGTTTTTGTATTTTTTTATTTAATGCAGGGGTTACTGATCCTGTCGTCGGGGATGTTGTAGTATCCTGTTGATCCTCCTGATTTAGTTATAGTGTGTCTCTGAAATTAATTGGTTTAGGGCAAGTTTGCTATTTTACCTGGCCTTTGATCTAGTTGATGTTGGGGTTGCGCGACTTAAGCTAATTGTATCCTAAGAGTATATTATATCCTGTGATATTTGTAATGTTGAATTTAAACGTATCCTTAATTTTACTGAACTAGATTATAAGGTGATTGGTTTTGCGGTTGATAGTTCCGTTATTGTATGTGAATTGTTGTTTCTTAATGTTTGTAAGGGTGTATGGTTTCTTTTTTTTATAATGGTTTAACTGTAGGCGGTTAACTAGTTGAGGCGTAATGTAGCTTGTTGTGGCTCCGGAATCTATATAGACTGTAATTGGTTCGTTATTTAACTATCCGTTTATTAGAAATTTCCGTAATTTCTTTCCTTCTGTTATAGTATTTAGGTTGTAGTAGGTTACGTCGTTGGCGCCGTCGTAATAATTATTACCGTAAGGGTTAATATTGATGTTGTCTAGGTCTGAGGTGATCTATCCTGGTTCTTTGTTTTGAATGTTATAGCGTTTGTACCAGGTGCATCTGGGCTGTGGGATATATCTGGCGGTAAGCTTATAATACTTCCGAAGGTTGCTTTAGTTAATTCCTTGTAGTTCGTCGTTATTACTATGCTTTATAAGGTTGAATCTTTATTATTCCAGGTTGTAGGTAATATATGCGAGGGCTTGGCGTTAGTACTGGTGTTTCTTACAACGATCTTTGTTGTAGAGCGTGAATTCTTTTTGTTTATATTCTTTAGCCCCGTGGTCTTTGTGCTATTCCTGAAGTTTAATTATAGTATATTGTTTATATAGTAATAGCTTGCAGTTGATAATGTTAGCTTTGTTACATTGGTCAGTGAGTAGGATGTTGTTAACGTAGTATAGGATCGATTTTAGTATCTTAGCTATTAGGTATTTGTCTGCGTTGGTCTTAATGTATTGTTGAAACCGATTTCCGGGTAATTGGATCCGGTCGTAGGCGGTACTTAGATTAATCTGTTTAATCTATCCCTATTGTTTAAGGAGTTTCTGTTGGTCCTTAAGTTCTTTTTATTATATGATTTCGTCGTAGTATTTATTTTCTTTAATAATACTTTAGATTCTGTATTAATCTTTATATTATTCCTAGTCTACTGTAGTTATTTTACAGGGGTGGTAAATGCTTTTGGGTTCCACTGACCTACATTAGTTGCACATACGGTCATCGACTTCTTCTTGCGTTAATCCTTCGCAAGGGTTATATTACGTTAGGGACGCTGTGTTTTGTTCTGCTATCCTATTCTCTTCTGGGTGCGTTTGGGTGATTTCTTTAAGTATGTTTAAGGTTTGGGTATGCCCCTTGGGATATTATCTAGAACTTTGCTTATTACTACGATAGGTTTGATAGTTATTGTTGTAGTATGCTGAGAAGTGTAGTACGTTGTAGTCTACTAAAGGTCTTATAGTATTAATAGTTTGGTTTTCCTTAGGCTTTGGGATGGGTGTGAATTTTTTATTGCCGTTTTTTCTAGGAGCTTGGTAGTATTTCTTTACGTATCCCTTTTCCCTATAATTATAGTATTTAACATTCTTGTGTTATGCCTTAATGGTGCTAAGGTCCATCGGCCCTGGCCGTCTATTATTAGAAGAAGTAATATAATTGTTTTGCTTCTTTCCTTAGTTAGCTTGGTGTTTTTGAGTTTGCTTGGGTTGGACGTTATGGAAGTTTCCGTTTTTTTCTCGCTTCTGTTCTTTCTGTCGTTCCTAATTGCGATTGTCGATTTCAATAGCTTTTTAGGTATAGTCGATGAAGGTTATTTCCTTACGGTTAATTTTAAAGAGTTTATCTTTAACTTTAGGTTTTATACTGTTGTAGTAGACTTCTTTCTTTATTTCCTTAGTCTAGTTGACTTTAGTTAACAGGCGTAGGAAGGTTGAAGTATACTTACTTAGTAGTCCTTTTTAGGTAATAAAACGAAGTTCTTACTCAGCCTCTCGTTATTTATCCACAGTGCTAAAGGACTTTCTAAGTTATTTCTGAAATTCCGTATACTTAGTATAGATTTCTTCGGTTTACGTTTTAAGCTTCTTTAAGTCAATCTTTCCTTCTTCGTAATTCTGCATAATAGGTCGGAACCATGTTTCAGCGTCTTCTGTAAGGCGGCTGCCTGCGAAGATAACTCTATCTTCGTCGTCCCTTAGGGTATGAGGAAAGTATCCGAAATAGGTTGAAAGTTCTGAAAAGAACTTGTCTATCTTGCGTGGATCTCTATCAAAGGGTTCGGGCTTTGTTAGTTTAATAACCTCACCCTTCTCTCTTTTCCTATCTTAGAGGTCCTGAAGCTGTGTCTTGAGAGCTTTAAACTCAGCCTTTAGTTTGTCGTAATCAGCTTGATTGGCTATGTTTTCGGCTAACGTGTCTTCAAGCTCGATGTCGCTGTCGTGATTACTTTGAGCTTTGCTTTCGTAATTAGTGTCGTTGTCTGGAACTCTGAAGCTCATAAGCTGCTGAGTTCTTAGTGTCTTATTGCCCGTAGGTCCAAGGTGACCGTCTGAATAAGAGTTGTTATTGTATGACGAACCGGGTCCTATAGGTTAATATAGGTTAGCTGTTTCCAAGGGATAAACCTTAGAGTGGTTCTATGGTTTATGTTGGCGGAGCGATTAGGTCGGTAATAGGTAATCTTATCACCAGCTAGTAATACGAATAAGAGTAAATGTCTAAGTTCTAATCTGATTGTATTGTAAACGCTGTAATAATAACTGGCTATCTAAGTATTCTAATAAGTAATATAAAGTAAACTTATATATTCAGTTGTGTATTCTAGATCGTGTTGGAAAGCTGGCTTTCCTAGCTTTCCTGTGGTAGATTATTTGGAAAGCTAGCTTTCCTAGCTTTCCTGTTAGGGAATGCTAATAGTCCTGATTGGTCTGTCGGCCTATAGTTAATCCGGTTCCGGCCGACCTGTTGGCCCTTTGTTGCGACCTTAAGAGTCGGGTCGTGACACGGAGGAAGCTCTTAAGGAAGCGATAGCTTATCTTTATTATATCCGTAAGTAAGAGTAGTAGTTGCGTAAAAAAGCTGCGGAGATAGTTTTTTATAAATTTAAGTTATTAAAGGAGTTGGAGGCTGCTGATTATTAAGCTAAGATAGAGCATTAGGCTAAGTTAGTGTAGGTTTAGGAGGAAGAGGCTAGGCTTTTTAACTCCTTAGGTCCGCTACCTACTAGTGTTAACTGGTCTTCTTTTAACGTTAATTTAGGGTTCTTAGATCTCGATTTTTTTATCTTAATAAGGGGTGTTCCTTTATTATCTTCTTAGGTTTTGCAGGGTGTTTTAGTTCTTCCTATATTTATTCTTATCTTACTTATAATTGTTTACGGAGTTTGTTTTAGAAGGTTTTTAAAGTAATGCTAGCGTATTTAAAATTGCTTTCTAATTCCTAGCTGTCTACGTCCCTATTGTATTCTTTTTATTCTACTAGGTATTAGAGTTTACTAGTTACTTTATTTATTTTTAGTAATATTATTTTATTAACCTTATATTTAAGTTCTTTACCTTTAATAATAATTTTATCTTTAATAAGTTTTTCTATATTTTTATTTATTAGTGTTTTTTTTAATAGTGAGATGTGAAAAATCGGGTGTATTAGTTTTCTTCGTTTACTTAGTTGCTCTAGGAGGTCTAGTTCGTAGTTAACTTTGCTAATTTTCTTTAAAATTTTATAAGGCCTGACTTTTCTATAGTCTAGTTTATTACTTAGCCTATTTATTTTAATATTAGCTTATTTTTCTCCTTAAGTATATTAAAGTAGGTAGACTATATCTCCCTCCTAAAGGGTTAGTTCTCTAAGCCTTTTCCTATCCATATACTTTTTTATATGTTTTTACATAAGTTTAAATTATATGCGTAGTTCTTAGTATAATTCCTTAAGCTTATCTACTTTAAGTATAGCTTTTTATATATTTTTTCTTTTTTGCAGTATTTTATATACTTATAGGTAGTATCCTTTATTAGCGTAAAATAGTAAAAGCTTTATTAATTCTAAAATTGAATTATTATAGGAGAATTCTGCGTTTAGTAAGTACTTAACCTAGTTGTTTTAGTTAAAGTTAATATAACTTTGTAAGTATACTTTAACGATTTAGTTAGCGTATTTTATTTATTTATTTATTTAAGGGTAGTAAGCGGTACTAGTTTTATAGTTTGTTTTTATTTTTATTATAGCGCTTTACTAGTATTTGGATATAAATGTTAATCCTCTGTTAGAAATAATTTCTATAGGTAATTTATATTTTAAGGCTATATACTTTTGTATTATATAGCCTAATTCTTCTACTATACTGCCTTCCTTATATAGGATAAAGATTCCTTATTTTGTTAATTTATTAATAATAATGAAGATACTATTATATATTATATTTATTATAAGCTCCTTTAATAGTAGTAGCTTAATAATATAATTAAATAAAATAAAGCTTTAAGGGTGCTTTAGTATTAGTAATAGTTGTAGTTTACTATAAGGTTTTTGTTAATTAGACTTTGTTTTTGCGTATAAGATATATAATTGAATAATTTTTTTAATGACTTTCTTTATACTTATGAAGGTATAGTACTATTATACTTATTATAGTGTTTTAGTAACTCCCTTGTGTTTGTGTAGCGGATGCTTATAGACTATCTTTATTACTTCTTTCTGTAGTAATCCTAGTGCCTAGATTTTTTTATTTCTATAGGGAATTCCTTTAGTAAGGGTTATATCCTTAGAGAATTAATCTAATATTTAGTTACTAACTTTATCCTTAATTTTATTAAGGATAGGGTTTCCGTCTTTAATTATAAAGAGGGTATTAATAGCTATTAGTTTATAGTAGCCTTCTGCTGTTTCTTAAAACATTAGCAAGGTAAGTTTTAGTATTAGTTTAAAGTAGTCTTCTCTGTAGCTAAAAGTATTTGCTTAACTATTTTCTGATCCTTTACAGGGTATAATCTTAAAGTTGTACTTAGCTATAAGCCTAAGATACTTTTTTTACCGTATAAAGATATTTATTTCCTTTGTAGCTAGGCTTATAAGATTCTTATAATTAAAATATATAGTGATTTTATATTTGTTACCTAATAGGTATAATCTCCATTCTTTAAATACTTTAAAGATAGCTATAAGTTCTTGGTGTTATGAACCAACACATTTATAGTTGCAACAGCAGGCCTATAGGGTAGGCACCACGGAACTATGATGGGCCGAAGGACTAATTGTAGAACGGCTTACGCGACTGCAAGTGAGCTAAGGTGAGCCACTTCCTAAATAGGAAACCAGCTTACTCCAGAACGAGTGAGCTCGAGTGAGCTTTATACTATATATTCATTTTACAACGCTCGTTTAGAATAATTTAGATAGCTAGTTGTAAATACAGAATAATACTTAATTATACCTACAGAGTATTATCTACTAGTTGTATAAACAAACCCCTTTTATCTTTATTAATTGCCCGCTAGTCCAGCCTGGCCTTTCCGCTAATATAAACCTAGTATAAGGTTTATCCCTTAGGAATTCCTTTTATACTAATACTATAGGAGCTTAGTTTATTATATATTTACAACTTTTGTTTAAAGGTTACCTTAGACTACGGGTAATATTACTACAAAGATACTAAATAGTCGAATTCCATATACTAGACGAAAGAACAGATTAAGAAGGTGAAGTCTAAAGTATATACAGAAGCAATATCGAAATTTCGGACTTATTTAAAGAAATAAATCCCAACATAGAAGGAATTACGACCCCTTAACTACTACCGGCTAACGATGCTAAAGTACAACAGCGCTTCCTAGACCTTGAAGCCTTGGTTACCTGCATAGAACAAACTATTAGGGACTAATAAGACACTATTAACATGCTTAATAGATAACTTAACGCTTAACAGTAATAATAAGGGTAACTACCTGCGGCTTAAGGCCAGCAGGGAGGTCCCTGCGAGAAGGAACTAGGTGAGATTATTAAGCCACCTCTGCTAATACTATTTAATAAGGACCTATGAAAAATTAAGGGATTCCTTACGGATATAAGGTCCTATTTTAGGTACTTTCTAACTACCATAGCCCCGCTGGAATGATAAATCAGCATCGTAGGAAGCCGACTTATTAAAGGACCTAAGAATTAGTTTAAACTATACCTTTAAGACTTTAAGTAATATAACTAAGCTGAAAAAAAGGCTACTACTAATGCACTCTTCGACAGATATAAAGAATTTAAAGACTAACTTAAGGCGCTATTCGGCTAGATTAATAAAAAGAAGGAAGTAGAAAACGCACTACTAAAACTCCGACAATAAGGCATATGCATTAAATATACTACTAAGTTTATTTAAATCTGCGCTAAAACAGACCTTAAAGATGCGGCTAAGAAGATATTATACTACTAAGGACTAAAATCGGAAGTAAAAGATAAACTAGCATAAGACGATCTTCTGGCTATATTTAAAGCACTCTTTAAAAAGGCTAGTTATATTGATGACCGATAATTTAAACGACGGAAAGAAAAGCAAGCTGAAAAAGGAGGAAATAACAAAGTACACTACCGCCTCTAATATTATACTAATTAAAGTAAGAAATGCGACTTAGCCTTATTAAATAATAGGAAACTAGGACTAATAGATTTAAATACTATTAATACCCGTAAGTTTATAGGTAAATGCAACTACTATAGTAAAACAGGCCATAAGGAAAAGGACTACTGAAGTAAACATAGGAAACCCGACAATTCTAGAAAATCCACCTACGAGAATAAGAAGTTTAATAAGGTTTAGATTGACATTATCGAAACCGTACCTTACAACTTACTTAGTTAAACCAGCTGCTATAACGATTAATGTCTTATATATAAAAAAGAAAAGGAAATAATGAAGTAGTACCCTAAGGTACCTAAGAGGAAGCAGCTAAGACGAATTACGGTTAATACTATAACTTCCGAAGAAGCTAAACAATAACTAGAAGATAGGATTAACAGTAACTAGCCTACCCCTATAACTTAGGAAAAATATAAAGCCGACAGGGTATAAGCTAAAGCCCTTAATATTCCACTTACAGAAGAAGAGAAGGAATAAGAAAATACCTTTATTTATAGATAGGAAGAAGAGCATAGGAAAAATTAAGGATACACCGACCTTAATATCTTAGAACTATACGCGAACTACGGATTACGAAAACCCCAGGGACTAAACTACCCCTGTAGATAGGAACCCTCTAACTACGACTTAGAAGGGACAGAAATGTATGACTTAAGCGAATTCCAACAGATGCTTAAATAGTATAGAATTACCTAGCGACAAGCGCTAAGTAATAATAGGTTAGCGGAATGCGCTAATATAAACCCCTACTACTTTATTATAACCAGAGATTAATTCCTTAAATAGGAAGAAATATAGCTTATGTATAATACCTTATTTATAAAAGACTGTAGGTATTTAATAGTAAAATAATGCTATAAAATACTATATAAAAAACACTAGGAATAAAAGATTTATAATTAACACCTCTGGATCTAATACAGAAACCTGTATAATAAAAATTACATAGAAATTAATCTAGATTAGTGCCCTAACTAAGGATGCGGACAGCACCTTAACTATAAGGTTAAAGAATAGTATATATAGAAGGAAGCCTATCCTAAAACCAACCCCTTATAATATAAGGACGAATATTATAGAAAGTATTACAGAGAAAAAGAAAAGTATATCTAACTCTAACACTGGTTATACCGTAATAGATTTAACTTTAAGACCTACGACAAGGGTAATACCTATAAAAAGGATATTAAACGCTTTTATAAATACTATATTAATAAAATTAATATTAATAAATGCTAATAATACCGAAAACTCCGATAATAATAAAAACGACGATAAATAAGTAAGGATTTTAATATTATTACTAAAGATAACTATAACCCTAATTAGAAAAAGGATATATAAATTAATATAATTAAGATAACTGGAATAAAGAAACTTAGAATTAATACGTAACTTAATAACAGTACTATTACTGTATATATTAACAGCGGAGTAAACTGTAACCTAATCTTACTACGACTAATTAAGGAATTGTAAATCCCCGTTTAAAGAAAGGAATAAGCATTATAAATTATAAGCGTTATAGAAGTAGAAATAGAAGAAGGACTTATTAAATATAAGACTAATTATCTCCCCGTAATTATTAATAGAAATACCTATAATGTTTAATTTAGTATTTTAGATATACTAAAAGATAATATCCTTTTAAATTATCCCTAGTTACTTAATAATAACCCTATTATTTAATAAAAGACTAAGAAGATCTATTAGGATATTAAGGATATACCTAAATATTAATTATACTAGAGAGAATAAAAGGGTAAAGCTACGCCGCCGGAAGAACTAGAATCCTCTGCATTAATTATAAAGAAAACGAAAATAGTTAGGTTTAAAGAAAATAAATTATTAGTACTACGATAATATAATAAACGACGTAAGAAAGTAGAATATATCTGCATTAATAGAATTATAATATAATTTAAGGACGAGCTAGTAGTACTTAACGAGGCACTAAGTAAGGTATAAGAAAAAGAGGAATTAGGAGAACTTGAAAATACCCTTGCTAAAATACCTTGCTAGTATAGAAAGTATAAAAAACTATATAAGGTAACGCTAGACACTAGGTTACTACTACACTTGCAATAGGACTACTTTATTAAGCTGATAGATGGGAAACAACCTAAGACCTATAAGATTTACAACCTTAACGAAAAAGAACTTAAGACTTTAAGGGAATAGTTAGATAAATAACTAGAAAAAGGATATATCTAAGTATTTAATTTATTAATAGGATACCCTGTAATATTTATACTAAAAAAAAATAGAAAGTTACAACTAGTTATTAACTATTAATAACTTAATGAGATTACTATTAAGGATTAAATACTACTGCTATTAATCTCTAAAATTAAAGATAGGTTAGTAATTGTAAAATAGTTTATAGCTTTTAACCTAAAAAAAGCCTATAACCTTATTTAAATTAAAAAAGAAAATAAATGGAAAATAGCATTTAGAATATACTATGGATTATTTAAATATTTAATTATACCCTTTAAACTTACTAATACACCAGCTACGTTTTAAAAAATAATTAACAAAGTCCTTAAGGAATATATTAATAAGTTCGTTATTATCTACCTTAATAATATACTAATCTACTTTAATACCTTGGAAGAGCATAAGCGATATATATATTAAGTCTTAGAAATACTGTAAGCAGTAAACTTACTAGTGGAACTAGAGAAATATTAATTCTATATTTAAAAAGTTAACTTTTTAGGATATATTATCTTACTAGGACGAATTAAAATAGACCCTGCTAAGATAGCAGCTATTAAGGAATAAAAGGTCTTTGAAACTGTAAAGGAAGTATAGAGCTTCCTTAGTCTAGCGAACTACTACCGAAGGTTTATTAGGAACTATAGTAAAATTATAATACCACTTACGGATCTTACCAAAAAGGATCTTAACGATAAGGTTAAGAAGAATTAACTGATTAAATATATAAGGAAGGCCCTAGAAGCCTTTAAAGCGCTCTAAAAAGCTATTACTAGTGCACTAGTACTATAAATATATAATCTAAAGAAGCCTGTTATTATTAAAACGGATGCCTTAAACTACGTAATCGGAGGAGTTTTTAGCTAATGAGATAATAAAGGGATACTATATCCAGTAGCCTTCTTCTCTAAGAAACTCCACGGACCTGAATTATAATATTCTACCTATAACTAAGAATTTATAGCTATTTTTAAAGTATTTAAAAAATAGAGATTATATTTATTAAGCAACGAGCATAAGATTACTATGTATTCCGATTATAAGAATCTTACAAGCCTAGCTATAAAAGAAATAGATATCTTTACCCAGTAAGAAAAGTATCTTAGGCTTATAGCTAAGTATGACTTTGAAATTATACCCTGTAAAGGATTAGAAAATAGTTAAGCAGACGCTCTTAGTTATAAAAAAAACTACTTTGAACTAATACTGAAACTTACCTCGCTAATATTTTAAGAAACGGTAGAAGGCTACTATAAACTAGTAGCTATTAATACCTTTTTTATAATTAAAGACGGAAACCCTATCCTTAATAAAATTAAAGATAAAGTTAGCAACTGGACACTAGATTAATTCCCTGAAGATGTAATATTTACAGAAGGAATTTTATATTGGAATAATAAAATCTAGGTATTAGAATTACTGCAGAAAGAAATAACGAAGACGGTTTACGAGTATCTGCTACATAGATATAAGGGAGTTATTAAAATACTATAATAAGTATAATAGTACTATACCTTTATAAGTATAAAGAAAGTTATTAAAGGAATTATTTAATTATACGTTTTATATATAAAAATAAAGTCTAGTCGATAAAAACCTTATGGTAAACTGTAACTATTACTAGTACTAAAGTACCCTTAGAGCTTTATTTTATTTAATTATATTATTAAATTACTATTATTAAAGGAACTAATAATAAATATAGTATATAATAGTATCTTTATTATTATTAATAGATTAATGAAATAAGGTATCTTTATTTTATATAAAAAAGGCAGTACAGCAGAAGAATTAAGCTATATAATATAAAAGTATATAGCCTTAAAATATAGATTACCTGCGGATATTATTTCCGATAGAGGATTAACGTTTATATTTAAATACTGGCAAAGCGCTATAGTAAGAATAGGGATAAACCATAAGGCCAGTACCGCTTACTACCTACAAACGGATGGATAAATAAAATGCACTAACCAGATTATTAAAGTATACTTACAAAGTTACATTAACTTTAATTAGAATAACTAGGTTAAGTACTTACTTAACGTAGAATTCTCCTATAATAATTCAGTTTTGAAATTAATAAAACTCTTGCTATTTTACGCTAATAAGGGATACCACCCGCAAGTATATTAAATACTATAAAAAGAAGAAAACGTATAGAAAACTATGCTTAAGGTAGATAAGCTTAAAGAACTATACTAAAAACTGCGTGCGCAACTTAAACTTATGTAAGAATGCATAAGGAAGTACGTAAATAAAAAAAGGCTTAAAGGACTAACCCTTTAGGAAGGAGATATAGTCTACCTACTTTAATATACTCAAGGAGAAAAATAAACTAATATTAAAATAAATAGGCTAAGTAATAAGCTAGACTATAAGAAAGTCGGGCCTTATAAAATCTTAAAGAAAATTAGTAAAGTTAATTATAAACTAGACCTCCTAGAATAACTAAATAAACAAGGAAAACCAGTACACCCGATTTTTTATATCTTACTATTAAAAAAAGCACTAATAGACAAAGACATAGGAAAACTTATTAGGGATAAAATCGTTATTAAAGGCAAAGAACTTAAATATAAGGTTAATAAAATAATATTACTAAAAATAAATAAAGTAACTAGTAAACTTTAATACCTAGTAGAATAAAAAGAATATAATAGAAACGTAGACAGCTGGGAACCAGAAAGTAATTTTAAATACACTAGCACTGCCCTAAAAACCTTCTAAAACAAACTCCGTAAATAACTATAAGTAAGATAAGAATAAATACGGGAAGAACTAAAATACTTTGTAAAACCTAGGAAAATAATAAGGGAGCACCCTTTAATAAGGTAAGAGGATCTAAACCTAAGAATACTAAATTAGTACCTAAGGAAGGCTACTTAACCCCGCTTATAAACTATACGTTGTAAAGAAGCTGCGCCTCCTCGCGCTGTACATAAGCCAGCTTAGCCTACCTCTCTTCCTCTTCCTAATGATCCGCCTCCTCTATCTCCTCGGCGCTTAATCTATGATTTACTATCTCTATACTATAAGTATGAAGTAAACGACGCAGCTTCCGTAGCCTTATAAAACAAGCTAAGGCTTTGTTACGCTCCGCCTTCTGCTAAGTAAGAAGTTCCTTATAACGTTTCTGTTAGGCAATTAACGCCTCCTCTGCAAGCTCTTCCTAACGCTTTAGCCGCTTAAGCTCCTCCGTGATATGGTTAACTAGAATAATGTCAGCACGGCAACCTAATAAGAAAACGCTACACTTACGAGAAGACATAGGAACGAAAGAGCTATTACACGAACGACCTAGATAGTAACAATAGGCGCACGAGTTGCCACCTTTAATAGCCAGACAAGGTCGCTTGCCTAGATAACGAAAACAAGGCGACACCTCGAAACTAAAAGAACGAATAAAAGCCGCGTAAGAATAACGTTTCTCCGTAGACTTAGATTTAGGCTTTTCTACACGGTTAGACATAATAGTAATTAAAGGAAGAAAAGTACTTACCTAAAGCAACAAGGGGGCTGTAATGCTTATGTAGGTAGCAGTTTAGGCCTTAAGGATAAAACTAACAGGAGGGGAATACTGTATTATAAACTAATATATTTATAGTTGTAACAGCAGGCCTATAGGGTAGGCACCACGGAACTATAATGGGCCGAAGGACTAATCGTAAAACAGCTTACGCGACCGCAAGTAAGCTAAGGTAAGCCACTTCCTAAATAGGAAACCAGCTTACTCTAGAACGAGTAAGCTTAAGTAAGCTTTATACTATATATTTATTTTATAACGCTTGTTTAGAATAGTTTAAATAGCTAGTTGTAAATATAGAATAATGCTTAATTATACCTACAGAGTATTATTTATTAGTTATGTAAATAAACCCCTTTTATCTTTGTTAATTGCCCGCTAGTCCAGCCTGGCCTTTCCGCTAATATAAACCTAGTATAAGGTTTGTCCCTTGGGAATTCCTCTTATACTAATACTATAGGAGCTCAGCTTGTTACACTTGGTTATATGTGGAATATTATAATTTAAGGCTATAGAGTTTCTTAGAGAAGAAGGCTACTAGATGTAGTATTCCTTTATTATTTCATTAGCTAAGAACCCCTCTGATTACGTAGTTTAAGGCGTCCGTTTTAATAATAACGGGCCTCTTAGGGTTATATATTTGTAGTACTGGTGCGCTAGTAATAGCTTTTTGGAGCGTTTTAAAGGCTTCTAGGGCCTTCCCTATATATTTAATTAGTTAATTCTTCTTAACTTTATCGTTAGGATCCTTTTTAGTAAGATCCGTAAGTAGTATTATAATTTTACTATAGTTTTTAATAAACCTTCGGTAGTAATTCGCTAGACTAAGGAAGCTTTATACTTCTTTTACGGTTTCGAGGACCTTTTATTCCTTAATAGCTGCTATTTTAGCAGAGTTTATTTTAATTTATCCCGGTAAGATAATGTATTTTAAAAAGTTGACTTTCTGGATATAGAACTGGTATTTCTCTGGTTCTACTAGTAAGTTTACTATTTATAGTATTTCTAAGACTTAATATATATATTATTTATGCTTTTTTAAGGTATTAGAGTAGATTAGTATATTATTAAGGTAGATGATAATAAACTTATTAATGTATTCCTTAAGGACTTTATTAATTATTCTTTAGAATATAGCTAATATATTAGTAAGTCCGAAGGGTATAATTAAATATTTAAATAGCCTATAGTATATTCTAAATACCGTTTTCTATTTATCTCCTTCTTTAATTTAAATAAGGTTATAGGCTCCTTTTAAGTTAAAAGCTGTAAACTATTTTATAATAGCTAGCCTATTTTTAATTTCGGAGATTAGTAGTAGCGGTATTTAATCTTTAATAGTAATTTTATTAAGTTGTCGGTAGTTAATAATTAGTTATAACTTCCCGTTTTTCTTTAGTATAAATATTACAGGGTATTTTACTAATAAATTAGAAACTTAAATATATTCTTTTTCCAGTTGCTTATTTAACTATTCCTTTAGAGTTTTAAGCTCTTTTTTATTAAGGTTGTAAATCTTATAGGTCTTAGGTTATTTTTTATTTACTAACTTAATGTAGTAGTCCTACTGTAAGTATAGTAGTAACCTAGTGTTTAATATTACCTTATATAGTTTTCGGAACTTCCTATATTAGTAAGGTATTTTAGCAAGAGTATTATTAAGTTTTTCTAATTCCTCTTTTTCTTATACTTTACTTAGTGTATTATTAAGTACTACTAGCTTGTTTTTGAATTATGTCGTGATTCTGTTAATGCAGATGCGTTCTGCTTTCTTACGTTGTTTATTATATTATAGTAGTACCGGTAATTTGTTTTTTTTAAACCTGATTGTTTTTGTTTTCTTTATAATTAGTATAGAGGATTCTAGGTCTTCCGGCGGTATAGCTTTACCCTTTTGTTCCCTTTAGTATAGTTAATATTTAGGTATATCCTTAATATTTTAATAGACCTTCTTAGTCTTTTATTGGATAATAGGGTTATTATTAAATAACTAGGAATAGCCTAAAAAAATATTATCTTTTAGTATATTTAGAATACTAAATTAGATATTATAGGTATTTCCGTTAATAGTTATAGGGAGATAATTAGTCTTATATTTAATAAGTCCTTCTTCTACTTCTGCTTCTGTAATACTTATAATTTATAGTGCTTATTTCTTCCGTTAGGTAGGGATTTATAGTTCCTTAATTAGTTATAGTAAGATTAAATTATAGTCTACTCCGCTGTTAATATATGTAGTAATAGTACTATTATTAAGTTATATATTAATTTTAAATTTCTTTATTTTAGTTATCTTAACTATATTAATTTATATATCCTTTTTTTAATTAGGATTATAGTTGTCCTTAGTGATAATATTAAGATCCTTGCTTATTTATTGTTGTTTTTGTTATTGTCAGAGTTTTTGGTACTATTAGTACTTATTAGTGTTGATTTTGTTAATATAGTATTTATAAAAGCGTTTAATATTCTTTTTATAGGTATTACCTTTATTATAGGTTTTGAAGTTAAATCCGTTACGGTATAACTAATGTTAGAGTTAAATATATTTTTCTTTTTCTTTGTAATGCTTTTTATAATATTTGTTTTTACATTACAGGGGGTTGTTTTTAGAACAGGCTTCCCTTTATATATACTATTCTTTAACCTTGTAGTTAAGGTATTATCTATATCCTTAGTTAGGGTACTAATCTAGATTAATTTTTATATAAATTTTATTATATAGGTTTTTATATTAGATCCAGAGGTACTAATCGTAAATCTTTTATTCCTAGTGTTCTTTATAGAGTATTTTATAGTATTATTTTACTATTAGATGCCTACAGTCTTCCGTAAATAGGGTATTATATATAAGCTGTATTTCTTCCTATTTAAGGAATTAATCTCTGGTTATAATAGGGTAGTAGGGATTTACGTTAGCGTGCTCCGCTAACCTGTTATTACTTGGCGCTTGTCGCTGGGTAATTTTATGCTGTTTAAGCATCTGTTGGAATTTACTTAGGTCTTATTTTTAAGTTTTTTTTAAACTGTGGTTAGAGGGTTTCTATCTGCAGGGGTGATTTAGTCCCTGGGGTTTTTATAATCTACAGTTTTTGCATAGTTCTGCGATGTTAAGGTTAGTATAACCCGTCTCCTGTCCAGGTTTTTCCCTTTATTTACGGATAAAAGCGTCTACTTATTCCCTTTCTTCTTCTGTAGGTGAAACGTTAAGGGCTTTGTTTTATACTTCCTTATATTTATCTTAAGTTATATTAGCGTTTCCTAGGGTAGTAATAGCTATAGGTATATTGTTAATGGCCTGGTTGATTATTTATTAGCTAACTTCCTTAGAAGTTATAGTATTAACTGTAATATATTTTAGCTACGTTTTCTTAGGTACTTTAGGATACTAGTTTAATATTTCCTTTTCTTTTTTATGTATAAGGTATTGCTTATTATAATACCTAGTTTAACTAAGTAGGTTATAGGGTACTGTTTTAATAGTATTAACTTAAACTTTGTTAACTTTTTTATTATTATTAAACTTCTTAGAATTATTAGATCTCTTATGCTTCTTCCAGTAGTCCTTTTTTTTATAGTTTATTTTACTATAGTAGTTATATTTACCTATAAACTTGCGGGTATTAATAATATTTAGATCTATAGGTCTTAGTTTTCTATTATTATATAAAGCTATATTACGCTTCCTTCCTTAGTTAGTATATTATTAGGAGTTTTGTTTAGGTTATTAAAAATTTTTATATTTTTCCTTTTTTTTTTCTTACTCCCTTTCCCAGAGGCGATTATTAATGCTAATTACTATTTAAGTATAGTTAATAAAGCTTACTATCTTTTTATTAACTTTATATAATTTATCCTTAACTAAGGGTTTAAGGCTTATATAGTATACTTCCTTTTTATTATCCTTAGTTTAATTAACCTTAGTAAGGAGTTATATAAATGTAGTTGTATGCTTAAAGTATTATCCTTTTTATTTAATAAATCGGAGTTTTTATTCTACTTTTTATTTTTTATTTAAAGTTTTAAACGATTTCTTAAGTTAATTGCAGAAGTATTAGTAAGACGTAAAGACTTCTTAGGTTTAAGTCTTCTACTTACTTAAAGTATTTTTCTTAAAGTCTTATATAATAGGTTGTAATTATTCTTCGGCTGCTTTAGTAAGGTAGGTAATAGTAAAGATTATTTTATTTTTATTATTTTTTAAGGTATTTAGAAAGTATTTAAAGTAAATATTAAGTTTAGTAAAGTACTTTTTTATATTTTTAGATTCTTTATTATAGGGATTAGGGTGCTTAGGTTAAAGGATTTTTCCTTTTTCCTTTTTTTTAGCTTTAAGTTTAGTAATTTCTTCCTTAAGAGCTAGAATTTTAGCCTATTATTACTCTTAAGAGAGTTATAGTTAAGGTTAAGGATTTTCACTAGCTATTTTAACTTTAGGTATTTCTTTAAGTTTTATATTACTGTTTTTGTAACTTAGGGTAATACTTTCTTAATCTATTCTAACGTCTGGTACGTGGAATTTAACTATTTAGTATCCTTATAATAATATTACCTATGGTTTAAGGTAACCTTTAAATAAGAGTTGTAAATGTGTAATAAGCTAAGCTCCTATAGTGTTAGTATAAGAGGAATTTCTAAGGGATAAACCTTGTACTAGGTTTATGTTAGCGGATAGGCTAGGCTGGATTAGCGGGTAATTAATAAGGATAAAAGGGGTTTATTTATATAATTAGTAGATGATATAT